TGGTTATGGTCGGTCATGTTGTTTGATTGTTACCTACTCATGTCTCTCAATAATACAATGCAGAGATTTGCCATAAAACAAGGTAACCATACCAGTTAAAATATAGAGACAATGCATTAATTTTGTCTTGTCATTGGGCATTCATTAAAAGGTTTTTAATATCTATAAAATGGTTGGAAGAGAGATTATATCAGGGCCAAATGCACAGTGCTGGAAACCTACAATATATCATTAGCACCTGAGTTTTGACAATAGCAGCTATTTCTGAAAAAAAATGTGTGGGATTTTAATGTTTCAGCAATATCCATTTAGTACTGCAGCTATATAATACTCCCCACATCTCAGTAGTTAACCCTATTGCTGGAGCTTGTATCAGCATTGGCTCAATGGGCCAAATAGCCTCCTCCTATGCTGTAATTCTATGATTCATTAAATTGTATTGAGATCTAAAATTAAACGACATTACCAAATACCTATAATTATTAAAAATGATAAAAGCAAAAGTTTGATTTTAAATTTCTTTCAATGTAACATTTGAAGTTTTTTTTCACTAAAGCACACTGATTAGCTGGCAAATATATCTTTAGACCATAAGACCATAAGACACAGGAGCAGGAGTAGGCCATTTGCCCCATCGAGCCTGCCCCGCCATTTAATAAGATCATGGCTGATCTTCTGACCTAATTCAATTTACCCGCCCTATCTCCATATCCCTTAATCCCTCTATCCTTTAGAAATCGATGAACCTCAGTTTTGAATATGTTCAAGGACTGAGCATCCACAGCCTTCTGGGGTAGAGAATTACACAAATTAACAAATTCCACTTTGAAAATTAACAGAGAATCCGGCACAAAATCAAAGATAAGGAACAAATACTCATGTACAGTGAAAGTAGATATTAAAACTGCAGTCATACAGTACGTAATTTGCTAGTCAAAGAGCATCTCTTTCACAATTCCATTGCCAGGCCTGTGTGTGTCTTTTTTATTATTTAATATGTTTATAATGTGCTTGGTTCCAAATCTCATTACAAGTCAATAACCTGTTATATAATTAGCTGTAACATTTGCCCTGAATACATTTTGAAGACACTGACATTCTCTTGAAAAATATATTTTTCATTAGAAATTATATTAAGTTAAATTAAGGAGTCAATTAAAATTACAAGAACAAATTTATGAAAAAATATCTGAGTTCATTATAGACATTATCTGACACCCATTTAGCCTTGATATTTGTTCTAAATAAATTCAAGTTAAGCCATTGAGCCATACCAGGTATTTTTTATATGTGTTTCTCAGTCAAGCAGAATATAACAGAATTCCCTAATGTTGTGAGTGAAACTGGATTACTGGTAACATTTTCTATACATAATAATCAGGTGCATCATTTGGAAGAATTTCTTTTGTTCCATGTTATCAAAGTATAGTTGTCTCAATCTGTCTTCGTTGGTTATCTTTTGTTTGCTGCAATACCATTTTAAACACCAGGGCCTCAATCTTAGATATTTGCTTTGTTGCGCTCTATGCCTGAGAGATGCAAGTTACAATCCTTGATTTATATGTAGATTAGCTCATTTGTCTTTTCATGGCACACCTTTGTTGTGAAATGTTTGATTCATGGCCTCAGTTGTAATCTTTCACCACTGTTTTTCTTTGTAGTTCGGTTCTTTGTAGATTTGGGAACAACTAGAAGGAAATTCTATGATGGCAAGAAGATTACAACCAAAGCTGTGAAGATGAATCAACCACCCACAACAAAAGTAAGCTATCAGACAATTTGCGTCAATCAAGAGTTTAACTTCCAACTTCCAAGGAATGGCTATGCAATAAAGAACCATATTAGTTAATCATTAGTAATGGACCAAAATGGCTGTTTTGCTGAGGGTTCTCAAAGGCAGAAATGGGAAAATAAGACACTGCTAAGCAAAATGCTTCTATTAACAAGGAATTTTCTTGTAACAACAACAACAAAATTACATTTATAGAGCCCATTTCACGTCGGGAGGATGTCCCAAAGTGCTGAACAGTCAGGTGTCTGGGGCCCGAGCATGGGGAAGGGGTGATGTAGGAGTGAGGGAAGGCAGAGAGGTGGGAGGGAGACCAAAGGCACTGTCGAAGAGATGGGTCTTGAGACCGGCTTGAAGGAGGCAAGGGAGGAAGTGAGGCGAAGGGACTGTGGGATGGAGTTCCAGAGTGTGGGGGCAGAGAGGCTGAAAGCCCGGCCACCGACGGTAGGGCAGATCTGACAGGAGACATGGAGCAGGCTGGAGCCCGATGAACGGAGGGAGCGGGCAGGTTGGTAGGGAGTCAGCAGGTAGGGGTAGAAGGGGGCAAGGCCATGGATAGCCTTAAAGGCAGACGGTCAGGACACCAGTAGTCCTGGAGTTCAGGGTAGAGGCAGAGAGATAGAGTTGGGTGTCATCCGCATACATGTGGAGATTTACCCCACGTCTGCGGATGACGTCACCAACTGGGAGCATGTAGAGGGTGAAGAGGAGGGGACCGAGGACAGAGCTCTGAGGAACACCGCACAAGATACTGTGGGGGCTGGAGGAGAAGCCATTTGCCGCTTGTAACTACTTATTTTTCAAACACAACATAGAAATAAACTTACCGTCATCAAACAAGTGTGTAAAATTATGAGACATAAGAACAACTTGCATTTATATATTATAATTATTATAATAAAAGTATATTATTTGCATGAATTAATGTATAGAAAAATATTGTACCAATATCCCTGAAACTAGCTTATTACACATACACACAAATAAGTTAATAAAGAGGGAATAGAAGGAATAGAAAAATGGGCTCATGACTGGGAACAAAATTCTCCCTATCAAAGCATAATCTGTATTAGTGAACTGTAAGGAGGAGATCCCAAACTGTTAATTATACCTGGAGAGAAGGTGAAAGGCAACCTTGACCCTATGAAGAAGCTTGATGGCAAAGACTGAGCTGAAAGCTCAAGGAAAGTCAGTGGAATGCCTTGACTGAGGGTCGAAATGTCATCTCTTTGGATGTAACACACAATGACTGAAACTTCTCTACCAGTTAGTCCCAGTGCATTCACCCCATGGCTATTTGTAAAAATGCAAGTTCTCTCTTTCGACACTGCATGCATTTTTTTTTCTCTTATAAGGCATAAATTATTCATACCTCTGAAGGTAGTGAGTTTGGGCTCTTTCACAACTGCCTCTATCAGACGAAAATATCCTACTTGTTATTTTCTCATCAAAGGGTTACAAATCTATGAATGTACTTAATATATATTTATATTATATATACTGCCACCTTGGCAGTATCTTTTGTATGTAAGTAGTTCAGTGTAAAGTAAGTGTTTTACTGAGTACCATGCTGCTAACTTGAATAGAATAAAATGAAATAAAAATGTATTTTAAAGGAAATAAAAACACCTCATGCCCTATTAAGTGACCCAAACTCAGGAAGGCCTATAGAATTATGTTTGAAAGCACTGTCATGTTCCACTCTCTTTTAAATTACAGAAAAATAGCAGCTTTTCCTTTTTTGGTCGTCAAGAAATATTCAAAAACAACCCTAAGAGTGAGATATTAAATAATATCTATAGCTTAATTGCTATGGATTAAACAAAAAATTATCTTGCTTTGCAACTGTCATTTTTTCATTTTGCAGTCTAACCCCACCCCCCAAGGGTGAAGGATTCATCTTTGTCAGATGAAAAGAATGTAGACAGCTATAATCATTTCAGAATAAGTGCTGAAAGTGATTGCTGGAGTGACATCAGCGGTCAATATCTATTACTGAATGCAGGAAATAAAAATACAGAATCCACTCCAGAAGATTGTGTTATATTTCAGGGCACAAAATTGTATGACAGCCAGACCATCAGAAATTATCCACAGCAATTAAGATTTTGGTTCTATTCCATCTCAGCATTTGATGACTTCTTGAAATGAACCTATGAAATGACAACTATCAAATGTGTAAGATAAAAAGTATTTTGTTGTTGCTTTTCTTTGACTGTTATTTGATTGATGCATTGTTTATATTAAGTCAAAATGCACATTGTCAAATATTGGTAAACTAGCAAATTGTAGAAAGACGGAGGTAAAACCGTAAAACTGTTCTTCAATATGCCCCCAATATGTTTTATAATTCTCATCTATGTAGCAATAAAATACCAAAAAATAATTTTCATCCGGAAGCTCATTTTTTTACCTTGCCACAAGTGTGTGAATTTATGTAAAAATGTGGACAAGCATGAAAGGCATGAACTAAACCTTCCAGTGACCTAAATTGTTTCAAAGTGCAGCCTGAGTATACAATCTAAAAGGGTATCTTTATACGCTTATTGGAGTGAATATTGAAAACAATAGTAAAGCCTCAGGATCTCTGATTATAAGCAAAATGTTATTATTAAAATATAATTGCACTAATTGTAGACACAGAAAATACTTTGCTATCCTAATTTTCAAAACAGTCATCAGCCTACTCATTCAATCAGTCCTCCATCTTTTAAATGAGTTACAAAAGCAGACTACTTACATAAGGATGAGACTGTGTTCTTGCCATTGTACAATAGAAATACATACTTAATCTATTTATCTCACTGTACAGATAAGGAATCCACAACATTACAGAGAAAAACAGTAAGAATTCACAGCAGTAAATATAGCAACAATAATAAGATTGAAGTATGGAATAAGTATGGGATTACCATAACCAACAGCATTTTTCTAACGTAAGCAAATAAATAATTTGAATCCCCACATGGCTATGTTAATGATTTCTATCCATTACAGAAAACATTTCACAGACAATATACCGTGTTAAACATTTCACAATAGTATTCCATGCAGCAGTATCAAATTCCATTCCATCAACAGTGTGCTTGCAGAATAATTTATATTTTTCTAATGAATAAAGTTAAACTAAAGATCAAAATACAGCAAGAATTCAAAACTGCTAACAACACGTTCTTTGCTATAAAAAGAATGAATAAAGGAGTCTTCCTACCGGATGAATGAAAGACCACTTGGTTGGCTGAATGGGATCCAACATCAACAGTTAGCATTAATGCAACTCTTCTCATATCCCAAAGCTTCACGATTCCAGAAGAGTCACATGAAACAATTGTGTCACTCTGTCAGGGAAACATAATCACTGACATCTGTAATAATATACAAATCCTTCAGATCCTTACATAGTAAAAATTATAATCCTTGCATTTGATATAGCGTCTTATCACAGCTTTGAGACGCCTCAAAGCACTTCACAGAATATACTGTAAAGTGAATTGACTGTATATTTTGTGGGCGAAACGCAGCAGCCAATTGCACACAGCAGCGTCCCACAAACAGTAGTGGATTGAATATTTGGAATGATTCGGAAAACATACCCAATCCTCTGAATGTACAATATTTCTTATTTTCTATTATTATTTCTTCTTTTGTACCTGAACATAAAGCCAGAGATTTGCAAGTTTGTATCTGAGACGTGACCCTCCCAATTGGTTACTGCTTCTTTGGCTGCAACACTAGCTGGTTTGTTAAAGCAAAAATCACTTTTGGGGAAAAATAAAGCATTGGACAGTAAGAAATTTAAAAAATTATGAATATTTAAAAAAAAGGTTCAATTTAAAAAGAAGTCAGAATAAGTAGAAATAGTGAATCGAACAACAAGTGAGAGATGAGAAGAGAAAATAGAATAGAAAATGCAATATAGTGGTGGGGAGAAGGGGGGTGTGGGGAGAAGTCATCTTGTCCGCAACTACTGATGCAAAAGCTGTAAAAGGTAGGGCAGGCGTGCATAAACAAGTTACCATGCTGCAGAAGCAGGTGAATTAAATGCACTGATATTTACCTATGTTCACCAACTCCTATCCAGTAATACGATAAAATAATTCTGGTTCATAATAATGTTTGAATGTACATTTCAAACTTGATTTATGAAAGTAAAGACAGATATTTAGCATGGCTGTACATTATTGAAAGGCAATTTAGAAATTGTTTTTGACAGTATTTACTAATTTGGTTTCAATCTTTTAGAATTTTACATGAATGGAAAACAATAACTTGGCTTGAGCGTACATATATTTCTCAAAGAGGAAGGGAGGTTGATTACTGTTAAGAAAGCTTTCTTTAGAGCAAAGTATTGGTTCAAAAGTAACAGTGTGCTCAAATGGAGGCCAGTTGGTACAGATACAGTGGACATTAAATCCCAGCTAGGGCACAGTTTCACTGAGGGATTTAGTAAGCAGCCTACTTATCAGAAAGAGCTGCAAAAAAAACAACTGTACTCATTGGACCAGCAATGAATAAAAAGTAGAAAAAAGTAGCACATGCACTGAATCAATCCTGACTCACCTAAATGTCATGTTATGCTAACCGAGAATCAATACAATAATAATTGTCAACTTGCCTGCATCTAGCATTATATAATAGTCTAATCTTTTGAGTGTCTAAGATAAGTTCAGTTGCAGACTGGATTCAAATGCTGGATGTGAAGCCTCACTCAAAGCAGTTAACTGGTCATCATCAAGCAGTATCAGCTCCTCCAAAAAATGGTTGTTTTAAGATTGTAACACTTCTAGTCCTTTCAGAGAGTGCAAGAAATCAAGAGGTTGGTAAGATAGCACCTTTGATGGCATGGAAAGAAAACACTGTAATCTAAAGCCGTTGCTGGTTATATCTGCACAAGTGCTGTTTTACCCATCTCTTGATTCTTCTCACCTTCTGAAAAGTCTAAAAGGAAGGCATAAAAATGTTACAGTCTTAACACAAACATTTTGGGGGGACAGTTGGTACCTCTCTATGATGACTAGTTAACTGCTTTGGGTGAGGCTTCACATTCTCCATTCGAATTCAGTCTTCAACTGAGCCTATCTTAAACTGAGCTGGACACTGAAACAATGAGATTGCTGTATCATTATTTGGACCATGAGATAATTTGTAAGGTATGATTTTTATTGAATGCTTTTTATGCGAACAGCAGCAATTAAGATTATACTGCAGACTTAATGATTATAAGCAGCCCCACACACTTGTGCCCTGCAACAAGCCACATGTTAAAAAACAAGTATTATCTGTTGTCTTTGCACAGACACCAATCAACTTGCTGCAGGAAATTGCATGATGCTAATAGGCAGCAATGTTTTATGGTTTCTCTTATTGTATAAACTGTAAGCATTCAGCCTTTCCTTTGTTATGATCTCTATCCACGATAATAATTAATTACCTCTACCTTATAACTAAGGCATATTAAATTGGGAAATAGATGATATTTAGCATAAAGGGATCTGGGACGCTATCCCGCGTGAAGGATGCTATGTGAATGCTTGTTGTTGTTGTTGTTGTTGTAATGTTTACTGTTACATAAAGAGTGATTTGTTTGACAAATACAAAACACTAGTATTTTGCTGATTTTTTTTATTTTCTGGCTATAAAATCTTCTCCTTGTATCTATATATCTATACTAACAAAACGACAATGTCTGTCTGCACTTCAAGAAGGACCTCAATAACCGATTGATGTAGAGACATGATATATACCGTATCGGAAAGGTCTTGCATCTGGGAGTGACATAGATCAGGATGAAATGTCTGTCTGCGTGTCAATCTACATTCCATATTGGATCCTTTGGTTGCAAGCGTAGCTGCAACGTGTACAGTTAGTTTAAAATAAGACACCTCTTTAAAGCTATTGTTTTTTCAGCTGCAATAGAACCAGCAGGAGCTGACCCTGGTGCTGCAGACAATAACCTCAGTAATTGATTCCAGTGACTCATCTGGATAATGTATCGGAGCCATCACATTACAGATAACTGATGGGCTTGTGCGGCATTAACAGGAAAGGAACATTTTCTTTTCACATAAATATGTAAAATTTGAAACAATTTTTTGTCTTTGTCACTGAGTCCGTTTTAAAAAAATAATCCAAAGCATATTTATGCTAAATCATGACACAGATCATTTTACATGGTGTTACTGCTTGTATGTCAGTGATCAATGGAACTATTTTGGCATAAAACATAGTATAACTGTATCTACCAGAATAAAGGCAGCAGCAGCAGGAACTGGGGGAGGTAGAGATGGAAATGATCAACACAATGGAAACCAATTCATTGGAGACAAGACATACAAATAATTAACTTAAAAGGTAACTATGTTGAAAAAGATTCATTTATAATATAAAGATAAAGGGTTAAATCCATACAATGCTTATTGCATTAAAAATGCATTACAAATAGTGTAAGAAACCTATTCCTATGATCAGATATATCTAAGACTGTGATTGTCTGCACAGTTAGGCTATGCATACACACCTAAATCTAAATTTTGGAATAATTTAATTGGTAAAATTGGGATCATTTAACACTGTTTCTAATGAAGAACAACAAATTCCAAAACGTTATTTTAGAACTTCATTGTCAAACCAACAGAATTATGTTGGCTTGTTGAAGTGTTAAGCTTGTGCAAGTTACTTAGAAGCTGAAAATATTTTCATTGGGCTTCATACTTTGATGTGAGAACTTGGGTTTATTAAATAGAATTATGCAAGAACAAATACTTCAATCAATTATATGATAAAGGAAATACGTTAAAAATGCAAACATTCTGAACTAGTCATGCAAATTTTCTTCAGGATTAGAGATTTCAAAAATAATCATGCTGTGAAGTATAATTTTTAAATCCTTACCCCATAGTTGTGAACAACAGGGTGCACAAATTAATGCTTCTCCTCAGTATATGAAGGACAAACAATTCATTGTACCAAGCAGTTGTGTATGCTAAGTGCTCATTGAAGTATACAGTCAATAACTCACATTAGCCAAAGCAAACACATTTAACTTGCATCAGGATATCTATTATTTTCTTCAGTGAGCGCTGCAGAGTTTCAAGTGTGACCAATATATAAATAAGAATTATGTGTAGAAGGAACTTACCTTCAGGTTCATGGTGGCATAATTGCAGGAGTGCACGTGACCAAAGAAAGTCTGTGCACAAAGCCCCTAAAGAAGAAAAAAATACAGATGAAGTGATTAGTGAATTTCTGAATTATCACAGTTTAATTAATTTGGGGAGTGAATGAAGTAAACAAATATATAATTATATTCAAAGTGCCTTGTAGGAGAAATTATAGAAAGAGGTTTTTTTATGACTTGGTTAGATCACAGCGCCTTCTAATTAATACTTTCATAGCATCCCATCAGTCAGTGACTGTCATGCTTACTTGCACAAAAGAGTGTCATTTGGTGTCTGCCTGAAATCATTTTGAGATGACAAATCTCAAAGGAACTCCTATTAATAAACCTGTACACAGCAGTAAAATGCTAAACTTGGTCAGTCTCATTGGGGAAATATTAATGAAAGCACCTGCGTCAATCTTAATTGAGCTCATAGCTTGGCTATGAAATAAATATTTAAAGAACATAGCGAACTTGAAAAGATCCTTTAGTCTGTTGTAGAGATGAGAGAGAATTCTTTGAGGGTCTCCAGTGTATTAAAATATTAATTAATTAAATACAATTCATGGAGTTATCTTTTTCTTAAACACAAATGCAGCTTTTTTCCTCTCTCTTGGTATCTATTTAGTACCATAGTCCTAAGGCCATCAGAAAAAAAAATGTTTTGATTAAATTAATGCTTTCAACTGCAGGCTACTCGATTTAAGAGCAATATTGAATAAATGCTTGTTCCAACAACACAACACATAAGTCTGAATTCTTTCAATAGAACTGATTTCTTAATAGAATAGACTTATCCCCAAGCATGGGACACTTACCTGCAATTAATTTTTTTTTGTCTTCTAAGAAATTAAATCAATGGGTTTATCTTTTCATGCTTTTTTAAATGACTGCTGTGCTTGCCTCATTACATGACTCATTTTATTATTAATGTCTCTTTGTTTATTTTTTATTGCAATTGTTAACAATGCTTTAACTGTTTGCAGCACTAGAGTGCTTGGAGTTTGATTGCTGTTTCAAGTTACTCTCCCCATAATTTTTTTCTCCAGTTTTTTTGGAGCAGTGATATAAAGAAGAGCCTAGTGTATATCCCATCTAACCTAATTGCCTTGTGGATATTTATTGGCTGACCCTTTAACCATCAATAAATCTACCAACCTTGGTAAATAAGAACGTCTGTTTCTCCGCTGGTAAGTAAATTAACCTTAGCCATAGACCCGAAGGAACAACCAGCAATAGCCCACAAACAACCTATTATATCTCTAACATTGACGTTCTGGAAGGAAACCTACTCTCTGTTTCAGGTACCCCTGGAGCTAACATTCTTCTCTCCTGTGATGTAGTGCCAACCTTTTGACAGAATTGGCCTTAATTGTCTCCAGTAAGAAAATATACAATTAGTAATTCAAACAAACACCACAGAATGATTTGTACTGCATCGTAAGTGATTCATTACAGGGCTTAGTGATACATAATTACTGATTTTACAGTAAAACCCTGTGAAGTACTTTGAGATATTGACAACATGATAAGGTGGGTATCACAAATGTGAGGATTATTTATTTAGTTGACTTTTCAGAAAGATTTTGCAATTTAATGATGCCTTTTTTCTTGCAATAAGACTATTTCCAAATTTCAAAATATTGTCATCTCAGATCAGCATCGATGGTATACAACCCAACGTTCTATAATCTGTATCCCACAGTGGTTTAGTGCCAATTAATTGGTTAAGCATTTCTGTTTACTTAATTATCTTTTGATTTATTTTATGTTGCCCAATTCCTAACAGCAATTTATGTTTTAAATTTAGTTACACCGAATCACTACCTCTCATTCTAAACCGTTCCTCCATTCTGTTAGAAGATACTGGAAAAGCTGCGTGATTGTTGATTCGTAAAGCTGGACTGTATCCCAGTCAATTAACAGAGTCAAATAAGCTCAGATAAGCAGAACAACTACTTTGTAGACATCATTGGGGGAAAATGATCTTCCATGCACCTTCACTAAACAATATAATGATCATAATCTTTTTGTTGCTTGTGTATAGCAGTTGGCACATGAAACTAACCCCTCGCCCTTTTCCCTGATTTTCTTTTCTTTGGTTTAATAATAAATTGTAAAGGTTCCAAAAATAACTACTAATTTCCTTTCATTGTTTTTTCATAAAACTGCAACATAGTACTCAACCAGGTTGCTTTGTCCAAGTACTCGTATAATAAACAAAAAGGTAATGAAACAACTATTCCGTTGGCAAGGTAGCAAATAAAATGCTTCTACTGTAATTGCAGCAAAGACTGCAATCCCTATATTTGTTTTCACGGCTTGTTAAAAGGTATTATGTGTAGTATTTTTATGCCAAAGCATTCATGGTTTTGCTTAAATGATGCAAAATCTTTCTCTTCTATGGGAGCAATTGATGGTGGAATGGCGTTGCCTGATCAACCCTGGGACTTATAGATGTGAGGTTTTGAATACGAATATTTGCGATAACTTCTCCTTTTCTCTTTAGATTGTTTTGAAATGGTCAGCTGTATTGTAACTGCACTGCTTTTGAAGTTACTTATATTATCGTTTGAACTTGAGTTGAAAATCTTCTAAATACATACAAGCGTTTTTTTTGGGGGGGGAGTTGGGAGGGGGAGCCAGGCTGAAATCAGTATGCATCACGACCCTAAGGTACCGATAAGGACCAACAATTGGGACTGATCCCTCTTATATTTTCCAATCAATTCCCTTGACATCTTCTTTTGTCCCATCCAGACCCGTGATTCCGCACTTGGAGGCACCTCCCACCATGACCCATCGGTTGGGCCAGATGGCACAGAAGGTTCCCAGGTGAGTCCACCAGCAGCACAATACCATCCGCAAACAAAAGCATCGCAATCCTGTCATATACATCAAGTTCTTCCCCCTTGATGCCATCCAACACGTCACTGATGAACATATTGAACAGGGTGGGTGCCTGTTGGGCAACCTTGCGTTATCACCATTTCCAGAAGGATGGGTTCAGTGGATCTTACATGAAGCTTGGAGCTGGAATACACATCCCGAATGAAATCCAGGATTTGCCCATGTCCTCCCATGTTTTCCAGTGTCATCACAAAAGTATCATCTGTTCATCAACTGTTCATTTATTTCCATTCCATTAGGCACAGTACTAGGCCTAGTGTGATAAATGCAATTACTAATGTATTATAACCAATTACTGATTTTCTCAAGTTTCTGATTTTCCGATTCTCGAATTTCTGCAAGCCCTTGATGCACATTATTCCATAGAAATTAATAAGAAGAATATGCAAGCGAGTTTTAGCACGTTTCTCCATTTTGAGGCTTACTGACTATTTATCTCAACATCTGTAATTTCATCACATGCAAATAGTACATTAAATTAATTCTTGAAACAGTTCCTTTGCAGCCTAATTAATGGGATTTATGGGTTCAGTGGCAAAACTAGATATTTGTGTGAATAATTAAGTATAATTTGTAGAGTTGGAATACCGTTAATGATTGAATACAACTTAGTTATGTTTTAATAAAAAGTAAAAATAAATATTAAATCTGGGAATTGATGGAATCTTTATATTTGACCAGGGATGCCATTAAAATGATAGTTTCAAAATATAGTTAGGGATGGTAGGTTATCAGACAAATGGATACCTATAGAAAGATGCAGTGCATCTGGTAGTGCCTGGTAGTTGGGTTTTACAATGATAACAGTCCATTGAAGAGCAGTTGATTTTTGCTAAATATCTGAACAATAAAAACAACAATAAAGTTACATTCACGTAGCGCCTTTCACGTTGGGAGAATGTCCCAAGGCACTGAACAGTCTGGTCTAACAGTCTGAGCCCTGTGTGGGGACTTCACTTGTCCATTTGGAGTTTCACTCTGCATTCAGTTACTGCATCTACAAATCAAATATTAAAGCATTTAACTCTATAATTTGGGTTATTACAATACAAAATGCATCTAGCACATAATTTCAGTTCCCTGGATTCGAACTGGAGGCAATTGAGTGGATGAAATAATTTTACTTGCATGGCATAAAACCAATAAGATTTTCATAAATTGGTGGTTAGGTGAAGAAAATAACACTTGCAATCTTTCAGATCTGAAGCATAGAAGTATTATTATAGAGGTAGTTGAGCATTGGTGCTATCATTTTTATGGTAGGGAAAATAGGACATTTTTACTACCTGAAAAAATAATAAAAACTTCAACATTCTGAACTGGGGAAATTAATGCTGCTGTGTTTATATTGCGAATTGCCACAATTCTAACAGAAGTTTCCTTCAGAGTAAGCCATATTGATCAGTGTTTATTTAGGGTAATTCATATCAGAATCTCGATTCTGACAATAACCCAAGAAGGTGGCTTCAGAAGCAGTGCAATTCATACCCAGTGCAGTATAAACGGCCAAGAAATTTTCAACAGACAAGTATTTTGTGGAGTCCTGTAGCTCAGTGGTTAGAGCACTCGACTTGCAAGCAAGAGACCTGGGTTCAATTCCAGGCAGGGCGAAACCTTGGGAAAATTTCCTTACTCCACACGCCTAATAATAATCCTTCCAAAAAACAAAAACAATAATAAATTGGTAATTTTCAATCCATGACTGTTCGTGGGACACTGCTGTGCGCAATTGGCTGCCGCGTTTTGCCTACAAATATACGGTCAATTCACTTTACAGTGTATTCTGTAAAGCGCTTTGAGACATTGATAAGACATGAAAAGCGCTGTATCAAATGCAAGGATTATTATTATTATTATTATTGATAAGACATGAAAAGCGCTATATCAAATGCAAGGATTATTATTATTATTATTTTAAACACTAACTAACTAACGCACAATTTTGGTGTTCTGTATTCAGTACCAAGTTGCATTTATGTGAACCTCTGAATGTGATGTTAGACTTTTAATGACTCCAATGCAATACAAGCCTAGCAAGATTTGCTTAATGTCCTGCTCTCTGCAACTATAGTTGGAACTTGTCATCTAGATAGCACCCTGCTCAAATTTTAGGATTCTATGCTGTGCTACGCTTAACAGCAATCTGAGACACTATCCTGCGTGAAGGGTACTATATAAATGCAAGTTGTTCGATACTGCTGTACTTACTACGGTGGTGTGTGTTGAATCAATTTTGGAAAACAGAATGAGCACTTTTAAATTTAGTTTTGCACACTCAGCTTTCATTATTATTTCAAATCATTTTATACTGTAATCAGGATCCAATCCAACCTTGCTTTAATATTCAAAAGATGTCACTCTCATAGCTCGTATAAAGAGAATTTCATTGATTTGGAACAAACGGTTATTTTTCAGATATCAAAGGCTCCTAATGAACAGCTTCAGATTTCTTAAAGTCATCATATTGTGCAAATGAAGCATCAAAATGAAAGGCCGCATAAGCTTTATTTTTTTGTGTGATTTTAGTGTGAGGGAATAGAACAGTCATGATTTCATAGTGCAAACTTTGTGATTCATCCAAAACTTTAAAGGCGCTTAAGTTTTCTAACTTCATGTTTCATTAAAACTGCAGTGATGTTTTTAAATCATGAAAAAGCTTCAGTGAGCTAATGAACCACATAATAAGGACTAAGAACATATGTGGTTCGCCTTACTAATGGCCTTGATCATTTGTCATCTTGCTTAACACTCTATAAACGTAACTAGAGTCAGATCATTTATTTTGTTAGAATAAATTCCTTAAACTGAATTTTTATAGAAGAAAAATGCAATGGAAAAATAAGTTTTGTTTACCGTTCTGCCATCCCAGAGAGAAATAGTTTTGTCTGCCGAACTTGTAAGTAGACTGTTTGAGAAGGGAACAAACTCAATGCTGTTTACAGAACTGACATGACCACGTAGTGTATATCTGCATCTCTCACTGTAAATAAAAAAACATATGGCTGAAAAGACGATATGTATTAACTACCTCAAGAACAATGAATTCAATACCATTTTCACCACTGTAAGAGCTATGTATTAAACAAAAAAGAGATTTTGCAGTCAGAGGGTCACCAACTGGATCCTCCAGTTTCTTTAAGCAACTAAATCTAACTGTCACCTCTAGATCATGTTTTGCATGCTCAAGATGTAATTTCACCAATTCCTTTCATTTGGTGTAGTAATTGAAGGTGAATAGATGCCATGGAACCATAACTTAGTATTACAGGAGCACCTTGCCCATTGCACACCTATTAACGTGTGCAATAAACATCAGTGCTCAATATTGGATTTACATGAAAATCCCTTTCAAGCAAAGATAAGTCAAGAAAATTACTCAAAGCTACTCATACAAAGGTTGCATTTGAAAGTATGACTTTCAAAGAGGTGGACTGTTTAATCTAAATGTAGTTGCCAAAAGGAACAACACCATTGGCTACAAGCTAGTTGTTATAGGTCATTTGCTCAGCGGGTGGCACCCATTCAGGCATACTGCAGCAGCAGAACTGAGGGCGATTAATTACCTGGAATACTTGGCAGACATACCCAAAGTGAAAAAAGACAAATGAACAGCTCTGACAGCATCTGACAATCATCCAAATGATTTGTTCTGTTTCATCAATATTTTAGTAATTATTCTTGTAAAACGCAAGTTCTGTTTGAAATCAATGTAATTAAGACATCATTTATTTTTATAACTTTCAAATGTACATGTTCTTCCAAGGTGCAACCGACACATCATTTGATCTTTTCAAACAAGTACACTGTAACCATTTTGGTTATATTTCAATTAGTCTTTTCTTAAATTTTCCCTCATCCAGTACTTCAATCTTGAAGCATTTCACACTAAACTGTCAATTGTGGAGTCCTGTAGCTCAGTGGTTAGAGCACTCGCCTCACAAGCGAAAGACCTGGGTTCATTTTCCGCCAGGCCAAAACCTTGGGCGAGTTTCCTTACTCCACATGCTTGATAATAATCCCTCCAAAAATCCCTGTTTGTGGGACACCGCTATGCGTAATTGACTGCCGTGTTTCGCCCACAAATATACAGTCAATTCGCTATACAGTATATTCTGTGAAGCGCTTTGAGACACCTAGAAGATGTGAAAAGCACTATATCAAATGCAAGAATTATTATTATTATTCACTCATATTTATATGACATCAGAATTGAAGGACTGATATTCTCCAGATTCAATGCTTTTGACATTTTCAATTAAAAAAATAAAGTTGCATCGACAGAATAGATAAAGTTGCTTTCCTTTTATTTCTTTTTGGAGAATTACAACAGTAATAACTTGGATTTATATAGCACCCCTCATGTCTGATTTGGTCTCTTTAACAGTAAAATGATAGCCAGCAAACAAAAATAGCTGTTGTGGCTGGAATGATACAGTTAATACGCTTGCAAGTTTAATAGATGTAGCCTAAACTACGTATAAAGATGAATTAACACCTCATAGGTCAAATGACTCAGATGGAATGAGAGGGCCTTGTGTTGTTTGTTGATGTATCAGAGACATGCATTTATTGCAATTCTTTCACCTGTATGTTGCTTACTGCTCATCAAATAAAAATATATAAAACTAAAGGCTTAAGAAATGTGATTCTAGATACCATACAAAATGTAGCCTATTTTAGGATGTTTTTCTGGAAACTAATTCCAGTTTGTTTGATTTACCAGTTGCTACATAGAAAGAACCATTTCACACAGACACAGAGGTTGATTCTCTCCATCAAAGGCACCTAGATTAGGTACATGGCAACAAGCAGTAACTGAGATATTAGACTAGAGGTACAATGGGGTTCTCCAAAAACGTGAGCATCTTCAAGGTCAATGAATGTAACAAGCCCATTAGAATGCTGCATGTGTCTCATTTGCCTCTCCAGCAGTAGGCAAGACCAAAAAACACCTTAGATAATCATTTGATAAGAGCTGTATGTTTCAGTTAATCTTCAAAGTATGCAGAACCTACTGGGATGCAAATTATTTTTAGCTCAGCTGCATTATAACATTTTCCTTCACGGCTTGTTATTACATTACTCAGTGGATTCCTATAGTGTACACAGGTAGTGAACATTCTGTAGATGGATGAATGTAAAACCACTCTCAAGAGAGAATGGTAAGCATCAGGGTTGTAAAGTATGAGGAGCTGGCTAACCAAGCACATCCCGATTCAATCAATTCTGCTCAAACAGTATAATAACCTCATAATATTCAAGTCCAGTATTTAGAAATAGGAAAATCAAATATGACAGGAGAGGAATAAATATGTCAAAACTGAAAGAAAAGGGGCATTTCCATTCGATACTTACTGAGAAAATACATATCAGGCAAAAAGGTCAGGTATTTTAGTACCCAACAATGCAAGTAACATTATTTGTTTTAAGTAATCCTTTAAGTCAATTGGAGGTGTATACATTGTAAAACTGAATAATAATAATCTTTTCATTTGATATAGTGCCTTATCACATCTCAAAGCGCTTCACCAAATATACTGTAAAGTGAATTAATTTTACAGTATATTCTGTGAAGTGCAAATAATGAAGAATGTATTTCTGTAAGCATTTGAATCTCTGCACTGAAATTCCACTTGATGTTTAATGTAGCGACTTTAATGATGCCCAATTATAATCGGGAAATCACATTAGAGACTGACATCTTCCACATTGCTACACAAATCGACAACCAGAATTTGAGGCTTCTGATGTCATGAAGCTGATACAAATTAATTAATTGGCATTGAAATAGAGCAGTTGTGGTCCATGAGGCTGGTGAGAATATGGCACGAATCAAGAAATATTCAATCAAGAACATTTATTTTGTTGGCCGACCAAAAGGTTTCGCCACCAATGAAGTAGAGCAATTGCAACCGATTACCTATGGTCCTCTGTCAGCAAGCCATTTCCTTAATTGTCTGGAGAAACTTTGATTGTCGCGTGTATGCCAGTCTCATTTTAGATTCGAAAACCAAAAGCAAATCATAATAATCCTTGCTTTGATACAGCGACTTATCACGTCGAGATATATCAAAGCGCATCAAAGGATACACCGTAAAGTGGAGCGACTGTGTATTTTGTGGGCTTGTAGCCATATGTAAGGAGTTCTCGGAGATTGTTGGTGACATATTCCTTCTGCTCACAGTCAAAGATTGCAAGGGCAGTGAGATTTGACGAGCTTTTAGACAAACTACTATATTTTGAGACGTCACAAAGACGCTACATCAAATGCAATGATTATTATTATTATTTTTCCACTCAATTCCAAATACTGAAAGCTTGTACGTGGTTCTCCCCCTATCCAACTTGATAGATGGTTAGATTTCCAGGAACATCATCCTGCTGGTTTAAATGGGCCTTCCTTTATCATTTATGCATATCTAGTCCTTCCCTCTCTTTGTGCAACTAATGTGTCATATCCTTTCTCCAAAAGTAGCTAGTTTGGATGGCCATGTCATATTGCAATGTTTTTCCGATTCCATAAGCTTATATGCTTTTGTATCTTTTATCTTGCTGAAAGAATAAAACAGGGAGGTAAGAGGCTTTAAAAAAGAAGGAAAGGTAAGAGAATGTTAAGTGATAAACTGGGCAAGCCAATCAATGAGTCAGTTTCCTGAATGGCACCTAGACAAATCAGGCTTGTTACAAAAATAATACCAACATAGATTAAAATCACCTTTATTACAATAGACTGAATTCAACAGCCATTCTAAAAATGAATTCCAGTAAACTTTGCAAACAATTTATAATAATGTTAATAATTCTTGCATTTGATATAGCATTTTGTGAATTGCACAAAGAGAATACATTTTAATCACCCTCATTTGATTCACGTACTGGAGATTTTCTAAAGTGGATTAATTCCACTTTCATTTGGAATTAGCAGATATCCCGGTGAACACCCACAGCCAATTACGCTCAGCTTTAATTCAATGGGACATCACATATGAAGATTAACATGTTTGACATAATCTTTCAGTAAGTAATGAGTGATGTGCTTTATCAAATAAGTCGTTAATTAATTTTTTTTCTCACCTATGAATATCCCAGATTTTGCTGGTCTTATCCATTGAGCAGGAAGCCACAAAGTCACCACACGTGTGCCATGAACAGCCCCAGATAGACGAGAGGTGTCCCTTGAATGTCAACAAACAGTCAGTCTTCAGGAAATTCCATATCTTCACTGTACTGTCTCCACTCACAGTTGCAAGTAGGTTACCACTACAAAAAAAATGAAAATTAAAAAAAGGGAAAATATTTTTAATAAATAATCCTTGCATTTTATACAGCGCCTTATCACATCTTTGAGACACTTCACAGAATATACTGTAAAGCGAATTGACTGTATATTTGTGGGCGAAACGCAGCAGCCAATCATGGATTGAGTGACCAAATTAATTTAATTTGAAGGAATTATTAGCACTGGAAAAGCGATCCGCCAACAACCGGGTTCCTACTTATTGCTAGGTAAACAGAGGCATGTGGAGTAAGGAAACTTGCCCAACGTTTCGCCCTGCCGGGAATCAAATTCAGGTCCTGTCGCTTGCAAGGCGAATGCTCTAACCACTAAGCTACAGGACTCCGTTTGCTTTTTCTCTACAGTGGTTCCCCTTCCTATTTCAGGCAGATGCACGAGGTGACAGGAGGCAGGGTTAATCATACTCATTTTATTTCCAGAGGGTGGGAGCAGAAAGGCTGAAGGTCTGACCACTGATGGTAGGGGAGGTAGGCTGGGGGACATGAAGCAGTCCAGTGCCCCCTGATCGGAGGGAGACGGAAGGTTGGTGAGGTGTAAAGCAAAGATAGGGAAAAGCAAGACCATGGAGGGCTTTGAAAGTGAGAGGTTTTACAGATTTTAAAATTATAATTGAAGTTTTTCTTTAATAATTTGGAACTTCTTGTCTTTCTCTATGGAAACTGTAATTTGGATTGGAGCTGCGTATATGTGCGATATATATTATCCACTTACACAATACAGTTGAAGTCTGAGCTGTATTCCATGGGGTATTTTACAACACAAACCCTTTATTGCCAGTTCTCAAACTAAAGAAGCAAAGCAAATATAAATGTAATATATTATTGTATAATACTCAGCATCTCTTGGGAATTTTTTATGTAACACCTGTTCAAAATCTAAAACCCTCCCCAGGAAGATTACATCTGGTCACAATGATTCCAAAGTAGGTTTTCATCTTTCATCAATAATAGATAACAGGCAGCAGAACTATGCATATTATACACATTCTTGCTTTAAACAGGCTTGGTGCAAGCTCTGGGAAAATATAAATGCCGACTTGCCGTAAGGCTGGGAGTACTTTGATGGAACTTATCAGAACTTTTGGCAGCAGAAGTCTAATTTGGAATATTTTACGAAAAGCAAATAGCAAGGTCAGCTTACACAGGTAATGGTTCTTTAGAGCTATGTTACAATGAAACTTAGTGCATTTAACTCCTGCTAAAATTCTAGTGGATCATGACATTCAGCACATTTAACATTTATCTTTTTGACAATGTTGCCATTATCTAAGTTCTGTTCCACTCACAATGAACACCACCAGTTATTATGACAAAAAAGGGTTTATAAACTATTCAGAATGATAACAAAAACAGCGCAGTAAGTGGCAATCAATGTCAAACATGGATCTAAATGCAAAAAAATCCACAAGCTAGTCTAAACAATTTTTCATTGGGCTGCAAACAGACAAATTGCAAACACAAGTCAAAGGAAAAACAATATAAAAATAGATTGTCTTTGGACCCAGTCAGTTTCTTTGATACACAACCAAACAGCTGCTTATCAGTAGCACTGCCATGAATGTCCAAAAATTATGGAGCAGTCTATGCAATAGGGAAACTTCTATGAAAGCAATAAAATGTATATGAACTAATGCATTAAATTACATATAGAACATTTTTAACATGGACATACATACATGTTTAAGCACTGCCACCATGTTTGATTTACCGGTGTATTCAAGATTATTATTATTACTACTAGTGTCTGACAATGGCCTGTGATGCAACTCAATTGGTTTAGCTTGCTTGACTTGACCATCACTACTTCGATGAAACATGATAGCAAAACTACATCCAAGGCGTTAATTGCCCTTTAAAATCCTCACGGCTTTCCCATTTAGTGAAGTGGTGATCAAGTGCAGAAAAGTATAAAATACTGCTAACTAAAATTCTCAGTCAACATGTAAATATTCCAAAAGTCAATTTTGCTACAACTGAAACTACACTGCAAACAACAAATAGATATTGAATTACCTGCTATTTTGTAAACTCCAAACTGGTCACTGTGCAATGTGTCATCTAGGTAGGCTCTAAGAATTATTTCAATATTTGGATATATGAATAAAACTGAGCATGCAGAAGTAACATTCTAACCACAATAGCAGTGGGTCCTGTAACAAAATGGTGAGTGTATTGCCTAATGGAAACTAATGCTGCAAGTGGCGTAACATGAGTTGCCATTTTACTTTCCACTTTGAAAATGTGAATTAGACACCTCTTATATGTTTTGGAACACAAATGCTATATTGTATATCATTCCTCTACCATATATAAAAAAATATTTTGTCATCTATAAAGATTATTCCTTCCCGTATACTTATTTTGATGAACCCTGCATTAACGTAAATCATTCTTTGCATTTCCCAAGTTTGTTTGAAGGGGTTGCAAAAAGTTGGGGAACGAAATAAGTCACTACATTTATAGGAATCGTCCCCTAATTCACTCAGCTCATTAAACTCAGAGGTACAGTACTACAAATGTAGAACATTCTATATATACTGTTACAACTGCTTGTACTTACAAATAACCCTTTATGTAAGATAACATCTCAAAGTGCTTTACAAAGATGGAGTGAAAACTCAACCAAGGTGGGTGATGGAGGTGGGATGTAGGAGGGAGATGATTGAAGGCACAATCAAAAACATAGATTTTTAAGAAGGATTTGAAAGCAGAGAGAGAAGTACACGAAATGGAGGGATTTTGAAGCGTATACCACAAAGTGGGGCTCAGTAGCTGAAAGTTCAGCATCCAATGGGCAGCATACAGCAGTCTGTGGAACAGAGGGAGTGGTACTGGAGGAGACTGCAGAATTGTCTAATGCCTGCTGATATTCACAAAACACTTACTACATTATTAACGTTCAGTTGTAGATACACAACTCTAAATTAAACAGCAATAAATCAAATAAATTTTTAATTTTCAAGGAATACATTTCATCTATCATAAGGATATACTGATCGTATCCAAAACAAGCCGCAAGACAACCATATTCATTGAATTAGCATTTTGGAATAATTTCCCCCAAATCAAATGATACGAGGAAGTAGCAATTACCTGGCCAGCAGAATGTTTTGAAACTGCAGTATATAATGCATTCCAGAAATCGAGTCCAAATTTAATTTGGCTCGATGCCCAGTCAGATGCTATTTCCACTGATATATATGAAGGGCTTATTGTCTCAAATAACACAGCTTTGGAATAAGTGCCTTCAGTTAGCTGATAACTTGTGCTTTTAAGCAATAAATTGTCTCATATTAGAGCACAAAGTTGGCAGGTTTTGCTATATATATCTATATATTCACAAACTAAGTATTTTGCTAAACTTAATCAAACAAAAGTTTATAAAAATTTTGATACTCTCATTGGAAAATAAATTTGCTGTTGATTTTTCATGACAACTTTGAATTCCCGAATGCTCATCCTTGCACCCTTGCAACACATTAATCAATATACTCATAGGCATGCTCAAGCAATCGAAATTGCAAGTAGGGGTTACTAATTCTCAGCCTACACTTTACTAAAATCACAGCTGCATTTTTTTTTAATGCTTGTCAGTAATGTTTTACACTGAGTGAGTGGTTCAATCGCAAACATGGTAATGTCAGACCAGTGACTTATGGACCATGTCAGTCAGTCAGTCTGCAAACATGCTGCATCAGGCATGAGTGTGATAGATGTGCCAGTGACAGATGTTTGAATTTATAACCTCTGTTGGCAAACAACACTGAAAAAACTTATTTCCAAATAACACATTATGAATAAAACGTTTTGGGGGAGCTTAAAACATAATTAGGAAAAAAATATATTTATTGGAACAGTGCACCTTTAAATGTGAATCTTTATAAATATAAAACAACTTCAATGAAAAATGTGAGTGACAGAAACAATTAGCAGTTTCGTTGATCATTTTTATGTCTTGCATTCCAGATAGGATTTTGTGCTGCACTTCAGTAGACCTGGGACCAAGCAACCACCTGGTGTAAGCTCTCGGGGATAGTCTTAGAGCCAAATGCCCTCCTATCATGCACCATTTTATCTGTTGTGAGATTTTCATGAATAAGCTTTTTAAATTAACTTCTTTGCATCAATTACCTGCACTATATGTAATTCACTTACGAAACTAGGTGATGTTATTATTGAATTTTTTTTCAATATTGTTATATATATTTGTTGAGAATTTAAAAATATTTTTGAAGAATATACAGTCACTACAATTTAAACCAAATCTTGAGAAGCTTTTTGAAACATTTCAATGATGTGATAAGGAGCTAGATCAAATGCAAGGATTATTTATTATTCTTCAGCTGATGCTGCTGTGCCAATCTAAGCTTGAGTGGTTGCTTTACATTTCAAACACTTTCCCTGAGGAAGTAAAAACACGCATAATCCACATAATTAAAAATATGTTTTATCGACCACATCATATGTAATTAATCTTTCTTTCTTTAACTACGATAAATGGAAAAAATCAAAGAAGATGTTGTCGACAAGCAAGAGGATTAGAAAGCTTTCAACAAATTTACTACTGGGCTTGGTGGCATTCAACAAACTCTCACAAAAAAGTAAATGTCTTGCCAACGCTAAACAAGTTTTCCAAATGCACTCCATTATTAGTATTCATCAATGAACAAGGATCTTGACCAAAATAGATTCCTTGCCAATTTTTGCTGACACTCTTTTGTATTTTATTGCCCCTGTTCCATCCAAGTAACTAAAAGATTAGACTAATTCTAGCCATCTAAAATATGTTGCTCAAATTAACTTACAATACTGTTGATTCAGATGCCAAGAAACAAAAAATAATCAATTTTTTTTAATAAATGTACTGGGATTCAAATGATCATAAAAAAATTGAGCTTCATTATATATACATCATGATATAATCACTTAGATTGTGGGATAATATCAAGCTTTTATTTATGCTCCACAAAAACATCTACGGTTTGCTATTCTATGGTGGTTTACTAAGGTTCCAGCCCCTTTTTCCATCAGCAAAAGCCATTAAAGCACTTCATCTCCTTGACATGTGATAAAGTCACAAAGAAAGATTAATGATTATAATACCATTTACTGCAAATATATCCAGAACTAACTATTGGGGAAACTGATGAATTCATTAACCTCAGTACTTGGGTTGCCACATTTCTGGTTTGTACAGAACAAGTTGCCCTTACGTTTATAACCATTTTTCTTTTGTACCCAGGGGAAGCTAATTTTATATCTTATATTGTGTATTGTGCCACACATGCACGAGATTCATTCTGCAACTTTGAGACCTTTCCCCCCAATTTGCTCAGCTGCCTCCACTCCCAGCTCAGGTTCCCAATCAGCTCTGTGAAGCGTTTTAAGACATCCTCCCAATGTGAAGGTGTTACTTAAATGTAAAATTGTGGTTATGTCTTGTTACATGTTTCAAACATTCTTTCCAGGTAATTCATTGCGGAAAACAAATTTTCTTATTACTGTCAGTAACTATTTCCCTTGCAACACAGTGTTTAAAATCCATTCATATTTGTATGTGGTTTTGAAGGTCACTTTCAACTATTGTGCCAACACCTGGTAATCCACATACTTAATTATATCCATTTATTTTTGCCTCGTCTCAATCAACTACAAGAAATTATTAACAGCCTATTATGCCCAAGAGAAAAATGAGTTTCAGTGTCTTGCAACTTTCAATGCGATCCTTATAATACCAAATTTTTATGTTCTTTAAAGCAAATGCTGTTACTTGACTGGGCTCCTGGGGAATACTTGATGTGTTTCTGTAAAGATTTAAAACATTTCGCTTGAAGTCTAGGCACTTCTCAGTCTAGCCAATTGTTAATTAAGATTTGACGAGGAAACTGAAATAATAGTCTAATCACAGTTTAACGAAAGGTGCATTGAAGCTGAACAATTTCATAAAGAACAAAGCACAAACTAGTGAGGTCTATCTTGAAAATTCTGGTGGATATATATTAAAAAATACCCACCAGAATGTTCAAGAAAGACCTCACTAGTTTTTCGCTCTTACTTTGTGCAAATTAGACAAGGAACCCTAAAACTCAAAATTAAGAAGTCACTGTTCAACAAAGCAAATCCTATTTAAATGCATGTTGTTTGACAAAGTGTTGGTACTCCTCCAAAGAGGCTTATAAATTGTCCATGCATGTATCCAGCACAAAAGCCATTATTAGAGTACAGAGTATTTGAACAGGGCACTCCATGTAATGATGATACACCTCAGTGATATCCCAATTTCTCAAAAATCTGTGCTTTCAGGCATTTGTGTTTTGCACAGGAAACGTCACTGATCCACTTCTGTGAATTGTGCCCACACAGAAGTACAATTGACATCACATTTCTTTGCAATGTAAAACCACTGGCATTTCTTTACAGCACGCAAAAAAAATGCTAATTGCAGTACCTGCGCATAAGGCGTTATATCAGCAACCGTGGTGCCAGGCTCAAATACTGCCACGGTTTTGCCAAAGCTAAATAAAAGAATCTGAACTATTGTATTTCATTCAAATAATTTTTTAGAAATAGCAATTGAATATGTGCATTTTACATTGGTAGATAAGCCGAGGAATGTGTGTTATTTTGCAACCAAAACTAGTTGCAAACTAGGAGATTCATGCAGTACAAATACCAAATAATCCTATAGTTAACATCCAAAGGAAAGCTTCCAAGATCGTTTATAAATGCATTGCATAATACAGCGAGAAAGGAAAGCAAACATAAAGTTCTATGTCATCAGTTCAGGCTGTAAATGAACAGACTTGTGCAAATAAAAGTATCTAAAATTGTTCTCAATGGGATTCATTTCGACTGAGTAAGGTGTTTACACTAACCTGGGATGGAAGCTGCAGCCAGAAAGCCAATCAGCATGACCTTCACCAGTCATGATAATGTCACCATTGGGAATGGACCACATTTTCCAGAGGCGGTCATCACTTCCAGTCACCAAGATTTCTTTTCGTGGATGAAGAGATAAGCTAGAAATGGATTTTAAAAAATGTAATGAAATAGCGCCTCAAACGCTGTTTGGTGCATGAACAGATCAAAATATTTCATGTTGCTTCTTAAATATACTGAGAATGTATAGTGGGCAGAAATTATACAGCTTACCTCTTTAAAATCGATTTATAATTTCCACTATAGTGTAAAAGATCTTAGTTTTCTAAACATTTATGCAGAATAAATAAATAAAAAGTGGTAGCTACTGATTACATCACATCCTAAAATCTGGATGCACCACTGATTTTTTTGTTTAATGCATTCACTGTTTTATTTCAGATTCTGGAAAAAATGGAGGTTTCAAGGCTATCAATATCTGAAACCCAAGATAATTGCCAGCAACTTCCATCTAATGTAACACATAGTGGCAGTGCTTTTAGTCAATACATGTGTATATAGCGTGTACTATTGTACAATATTGTACAATATAAATTAATTGCAGACAATAGCTTCATCCAGGCAGCATGCCTTTCTTTGAAGATGCTGTGGAAGAATGAATTCTGGAAAAAATGGAATGAAGAAACACATGCATATACCTTCCCAAGCAAATTCGGAAGAGGCCTGAAAATTTCTGAATTTAACTTGTTTCTCACTGAAAAACATTTGCTGCCTTATCTTCTTTTCTCAAGATGATTTTTTTATTGTGGCATTTAGTGTCTTCCCAAAATCTTTCTTTCTTCATCATCTTATAAAAAGGCTTCTTCAGCCTCATCAATGAAATTCTGAGCAAGCACCACATTTGAATCGTCAGCATGTCTTTGTCTTTTCAATGCCTATTAATCTGCTGTTCTTTTCTAGTTTTTACTTTTCTCACTTAATTATTGCAAATTAAACCTATAGACTTCTTAGTTTCTAAATATATATATACACACTGAATTCCTGATTTACAGTATTTATTTAAATGCTCTGCAGTGTAACATTTACAAAACCATACAAAACCATTAGTGGCAGAAAAGAATCAATATTAATCAATGCTAACATCTCTTAAAATGCAATCCAGTTTAAATAGATTTGTTCAGTATTAAATTAAAATAGCTCTCCAATGACCAATGCAGAAATTCAAGTTTAACCAGTTTATGATCAGTGAAACGTCAAGTTAGCATCATTTTACTATGAATGTGATTGACCCTTCCCACGTGGGGAAATTACGTTCCTAGTATTGTACACAACTAAAATTTTACTGGCAATAGGATTATTAACTTCTGACTTGCTGTCTATGCTGACAGAGGTGAGTAAAATTTGAGTATAATAATAATTCTTAAATTTGGTATAGCGCCTTATCTCGACTTCGAGACATCTCAAAGCACTTCACAGAATATGCTGTAAAGTGTGGTGACTGTGTCTTGTGAGCAAAACTTGGCCGCCAATTGCACACAGCAGTGTCCCACAAACAGTCGTGGATTGAGCATTATTATTATTACTATTAATATATTGTAATATTTTGATTATTTCCTGCATTGTTTAACAATCAACTTCACTAAACACAATATCTTGTGTTCCTATAATCACAACCACATCAGTATCATGTGTCCCTGAGACATTATTTAGCAGCTACATGCTGATTTCAGTCACCAAATAACAGACAGATTGAATAATCTTATTTCATGAACTCCACAGTAAAAGTTTCTTTAAAAAAAATCTGCTCCATGTAAACTATTACAACTAAATAATTTTATCAAGAGATTGTATAAAATATTGGGTCTTCCAAATATCTCAAGATTACCATAGAGCCATCTTGTATTGACTCATAGATGTACTGTACCATATAATACAGTACTTTCTTTGTCTTCCTCTCTGTACAGCTATGTTGGTTCGTATGCGAGTTTACATGTTTATTAAATGTGTAGTTGTTTTCACTGCTAATGATGTTCTACTTCACCAGAACATAGAGATGTCACAGTTCTTTCTCACCTTTCTGACTGGTTTTGCCACCTTGGATTTTATTCCATTTCATAATACAGCTTTATGAAAAGCCCACCTCCCCACCCTCAATAAACTAATTATTTCTCCTGCCGTATCTTTATCCAGCTTTCCTTTGTCCTTGTAGTTTTACATGCTTCAGCAGTACAAAGGCTAAAATTGGCACACTGGGGAGATGAGCTCTGCAGGAAATGCAAAATCTATCTGAGACCATCTTTAACAGGTTACCACTGTGTTTATACAGAGAAAGTCATCCTAATGCTTAATGGGCATGACAGTCTTTCATTGTAGAAGGAAATATAGCTGACTCTTGATCAAGATATTTAATCGACTAAAAAATATTATACTTAAATCAAACGTTTATGAGCCGATGGTAATTTAATATAAATTCTGATGCCAGTGAATATTTATCCATTCAGCAATTTAATTTACAACAATACTTAACTTAACGTAACTCCATTCACATAGGATACCGTCTCAAAGTGCTTTAGAGAGACAGATTGGGAGATCCAAAACACTGATTGTCCAGCGCCTTGGGACATCCTCCTGATGTGAAAGTCGCTATACAAATGTAACTTTGTTGATGTTACAGAGTCTAGGAAGAAGGCGAATGAAGTAGGTAAAGGAGGGAGGTTTTTAAGAGTGGCTTTGAAAAGCAGAGAGGGAAGGCAGAAAGATTTTGGAAGAGACTTTCTGAAGACATGGGCAAAGTGACTGAGATTTTTACCTCCAATTATGGGGTGAAAGTGTTAGAATAAGACTAACTGCAGTCAATTTGTGCACTACAATGTCCCACAAACAGTCATGAAGTGAAAGACCACTTGGGTCATTCAGTAATGACTATTCAGTATTCAGTTTGCAAAGTGCGGGGAGTGCGGACTAAATCTGACAAGAGACGAGGTGGGGCATAGAAACATTTGAAAGTTAGAATGAGGATCTTGCAATTGATCTGCTGAGTAAGGAGAGGATGTGGGTGTGGAGAGCTGGATGAGATGGAGCTCATGAAGGCCAGCAAAGAGAACATTGGATAAATCTTCCTAGACATGAATTACGGCTTCATGTACATATGGGGTGAGTTAAGGATTGATGTGGCCAATATTGTAGAGGTGGAAGAAAGCAGATTTGGTCAAGGAGTGAATTAAAGTGCTAATCAAAAACTGAGAGTCAAGGAAAATGGTAAGATTATACACAAGATCTACAAGGTAGAGTGAGCCGCTGGAAGACTGATACAATGAGAACCAGGGGTGAGAAGACAGTGGTGGAAGCAAAGGTAGATGGCTTCAGTTTTCTTGACATTTATTTGGAAGAAAGTTAAGGATCATGCAAAACTTGGTGTACGACACAGTGGTCCTTCAATTAAATGTTGAAGGCAAAGAAGTAACAATTGGGTGTCATCCACACCCATCCATTCCTATGGATGATATTACTAAGAAGGAAGCAGTTGAGAAAAAAAGGTGAGGACCAATGATAATTGAGATAACAAACATATGTTCCAAAGTCAGGAGAACTGTTGTACAAAACTCTGCTACTATATTCCATACAGATTTTTGGCAGCAGTTGTAGAGCGAAAATGGATTTAAAATTGATTAATAAAACTAGACTTCCAAATGCAACAATAATTAGAAATGTCTCCCTAAATGAATATCTTAAGGTTCATTTTTTTATCTCTATACTGTCATAATTAGCACTCCCCAAAAATATCCAAAAATAATCCAGTAGCATATACAATGAAATACATTTTATATGAATCTTTAAATAATGCATAACATGACTGCTTAGCATTTTATTAAATACTAAGTTATGCATTTTCTGATTTCTTAGCATTTTATTAAACAATAAGCTATGCATTTTCTGATTTCTTAGCATTTTATTAAACACAAAGTATGCAAATACTGAAATAAACATTCAACAATAAGAACTTGGATTTATACAGCGCCCTCCACCCTGGACAGCATCTCAGAGCGCTTCACAGTAACGGATCCCGGGGCCGAGCCAGGGGGAGGGGGAGGAAGGTGACCAAAGGTGCGGTCAAAAAGAAAGGTCTTCAGCTGAGACCTGAAAATAGGGAGAGAGGGGGCGAGGCAAAGGGAGTGAGGAAGGGAGTTCCAGAGCCTCGGGGCATAGTGGCTGAAGACATGGCCGCCGAGGGTGGTGCGGAGGACTCGGGGGACAAGGAGGAGGCCAGATCCGGAGGAACGAAGGCACATTCATCACAGGTTGACCTTATGGCATATGTCATTTAAGTTTCTTTCACTGTTTGGCATAGTTACTTTTTACATACATTTGAGGGAACTCCATTTGCTAAACTGTTTTTCCACGTTGACAGCTGAAATCTGACCGCTATTTATTTCAGTTTTGACAAGTAAGCATGGATCTCTGCGCTTGAAAGCACTAGCCTCATGCTGCCTTGAATCCAGCATATAAACTGACTGTTTTGTTTGTTTATCTGGTTAAAATTATCTAATGATTCTCAGCTACTGCACCAGTTGAATGAAAAACAGATGAGCTGAAGGATTGTGAGAATGATGGGCCATATAATAATAAGAATCTTTGCATTTGATACCACACCTTATTACGTTATTGAGACGCCTCAAAGCGCTTCACAGAATTTTGTGGGTGAAACGCCTCAGCAAATTGGGCACAGCAGTGTCTCACAAACAGTCGTGGATTGATTGACCAAATTATTTTTCTAAATTTTTTTGAAGGATTATTACCACTGAAAAGCGATCCGTCAATCGACTAACAACCGGGGTGCTACTTTCTGCTAGGTAAACAGAGGCGTAAAAACAAGTGCCACTTTGATATCGGAGGGTCAACCAGCTGAAGCTCCGGCCTGCTCCATGTCTCCTGCCCTACCATCAGTGGCCGGGCTTTCAGCCTCTCTGCTCCCACACTCTGGAACTCCATCCCACGGTCCCTTGGCCTCGCTTCCTCCCTTGACTCCTTCAAGGCCGGTCTCAAGACCCTTCTCTTCTACCGTGCCTTTGGTCTCCCTCCCATCTCTCTGCCTTCCCTCACCCCTCCACCAACCCTCCCCCATGCGCGGGCCCCGACACCT